TGAGGTCCGACCGATCCTTGTGTCAGCATGAAATTAGCGGATGATTGAGCACCAATAGATGGTGACAACAATTGATACTGCTTTATCAACAGCATCAATGGTTGTCACCATCTATTGGTGCTCCATCATCCGCTAATTTCATGCAGACACAAGGATCGGTCGGACCTCAGACTTCGCAGTGGTCTAATCGTCCTTTTTACCCGGGTTCACAAGTGATGTCATCATCGGCAGCAACTAACAGACAGGGTATGCCCAACATTCCGCATTCGCAACTATCGAACCCTCAAGTGATGCAGCTGTCGCCGCATGCACCTCCTTATGTTCCATCTAACAACGGATATTTTCAGGGGATACCAACTCATCCCCAAGGGCCGCCCAACATGTATGTGAACCATCAGGAGTCATCGCTAAAAGCGAGATTGAATGGTCCTTCGGTACCATTCAATACGATGTCGTTTCAAAACAGCATCCTGACTCCTGGAATGTCAACACAGAATCAGATGCTAGGGGGAGGACATGTTTTCGCACCTCCACTTTCTTCTGGTTCGAACATACACCAAGGCCAGCGGCATGATAATTCCATCAACAGGATGCCGTTTAGTGGCACTGCGGCAGCTGATACTGGTTTCAACCGAAAAACAGCTAGGTAGTCCATGGAAAGGATCATTAAGAGCATGAAACCAAGACAGGGTGATGATACCGCTTTTGTAGGTGTGTCCACTGGAGAGTCAAACAAACTGTCATCACACAATGATGCAGTGGCGTTTGTGGACGAGCTTTCAAGGAAAAATGCAAGTTGAGGATGGAGGGATATGGGCATTTCCTGTCGATCAGTACTGTACGGATGGGTACACGAGACCCGTAGCGGATGTGTTGACGTCGCTGAGAGTAGAATGCTTGAGCAAGCTCATTCCTTTAGGCCTGGCTACAAGGTCAATGATGATTCCAGGAACCATGATCAACACATACTTGATCACAGGGGGTAGACTCATGGTTCCTTTTGATCAAGTCACGATCACAGATTGGACACGTTTGTTGGTAGCGGAATTGGCAGCTACACCAGTGGCAAAACAAGCGGCAGTTCAAGCGAACGCTGTGACCGTTGTTCCCCTCCCCTCACAAACGGTGTACCTGTCATCCCCGGCATAGAGGCAGGGCGGTTGACAAAGGCAG